TTGAAAAGTTCTCTAGTCGGACAGGCCTAGCTATATCCTTGCACCCTGTTCTGGGGCCCTCTGCAAGCCAGTATGCTTCAGTGCTATAGCAGTCAGGGGGCTTCTACACATCAATGTTCTTGCTGTTCTCTTTTCCTGCATTTCAGAAATTGCTGCTTGCTCAGTTTGTGAACTTTCTCCACTTGCTTTATGCTCGAAATAAAACTCCATGTATGTATAAAACAGTATGATTGGTATTTAATACAACATGTTAAGATAGGTTCATTGACCCAGTGTAGTAGAATTGGGACCCAGGGATGGCCATGACACCCCCTGGTGGCCTCGTGACACTTGCTTTGCTTTGACTTTCTGAGTACTCTCTGAGTTCTCTTTTACCCACTTGTCTGCACCACCTTGCTGTTAAATCTTACTGGGAGAAAAGGAGGCTGCCCAGGGTCCCAGAGTGAGCTTTTAAATGTTAGGTGGGCCCTCCCAGCCTGTTGGTGCCCCAGGGTACTAATTACCATAACGGCTAATCTTGTGGCCTCCAATCTCCCTTACAGCCACACACCATGCCTCCGAGGTGTTACCAATCATCATATAAGTGGGCCCTTTGCCCCAAAACCACCAAGCCACCTCAGGCCTCCGTTCCCTTGTTGGGGCCTCGGCTTTCTTGGCCTCTACCCCTCTGCTATGGCTGGCTCCTTTTTAGTGTGGACCCACTGTACTGGATCTGGCTTCCTGGGCTCCAGTCCTAGTTTTTTCCCATTTGGGCCCTGGTTCTCATGCCTCCTGGGCACTGGGCCACCTGGCACTGTTCTAGGCTGCAACCTTTTGCCTGGTCACCGCCTCTCCGCATCAGCCTCTGGCAAAGCTCAAAGCTGTCACGTGCCCCTCAGGCACTGCTGGGACCTCCATCTCCCTTTCAGTCCTGAGCCAGTTCACTGGTATAAACCATAACAAAAGAATCAGCTCATTGGCTGTAACCCAAATATCTAAGCATGCTGGTTGCATAGCAAAGCACTTCTCATCCCGTGCTTAGCTCCTTATAAGCTCTCAGACCCTTACTCATAGTTGCAGGGTCTCAGTCCATTTGCTTGAGCTCTAGCCATCTTGGAGCACAGCTTCTTCCCAGGGAGCCTGCCCAGCCAGACTGACTCCCTGGCTCAGACTTTGAGCTTATTATTTCTCAAGCTCTGCTCATGTCAGTCATGTGTAGGGTCCTGAAAAAACTGTGATTTTGTGGACTGAGCAGATACCATGAAATTAGCCCCACACCGCAATGTTTAAGGGTCATGAGCCTGTGCCAGAAAAAAGCGTGAAAGCATAGGTTTCCCTTTGCAGCGTGGCAGCGTTCCAGTCTGAGAGGAAACCTGCACTTTCACAGCCTGCAAGTGGCTGCTGGGGGCATGGCCAGGATGCAGCCAGGCAGCCAAATTAAGGTAAGTGTATAGGGAGCAGAGGGGGAAGGCGGTTTGGTGGGCCAGGGCTTGGAGACTGTCAGGCGGGGACAGGGAGTGTGTGCCATAGGTGGAGGGAGAAAATATTATTGGGGGGGCTAAGTGTACACCCCCGCACAACCCAACAGGTAAGTTTGTGGAGGGAAAAGGGGAGGGGGAGAGCGAAGGAGCATTGTGCAGGGGGTAGATCAAGTCCTCTGCAGTGAGGGATGGAGTGGGGTAGAGGCAAGGGCAGGGTGAATGCCCCAAAGCAGATGGTGGGTCAGTTGGACCCTGGGCAGCTCACTCAGGGGGGGCTCCTGTCTCTACGTGAACCCCAGGAGAGGCACGAAGGGCACACGCCCCCCAGATTTGTGTATGGAGTGGAGGTGAGCTGCTGCTGCAGGCTGGGCTCTGTGCCTGCTGCCATTGCTTCAACAGCCACATGATGGCATGTGTCTGCCGCCGCTGGGCAGGCAGGCAGGGAGGGATGCAATGCAGCGTGGCGGCAGCAGGCACATATGGCTCCCCAGCCATACACTGGTGTTTCTAATTGGGCTTGCTGGCTGGCTAGTCTGCAAGAGTAGCTTATGGCTCCTGGCTAGCCTGTTTGCCCTATTAGGGCTTGGCTTGGCTGCCTGCAGATCTGGGTTTTCTGCTGCCTGTGGACCTGCCCAGTTTGCAACTTACAGCTCTGCAACTGCTCCCATGGGAAGTTACTCTCCAAAAGCGCCACCACCTGTGTAGCTATGAGTCTGCCTGATGGTGGCTGGCTGGTCTATTAACAGCTAGCCCAAATATTAACTCTCTGCCTGCCTGAAGCCAGCTCAGATTACTGCAGCTTCTCTTAAAATAATAGGAGCCCTCTGACTCCCTGTTACACCCAAGTTAAGTGTGCAAAATTGTGGCTGTGGCAATTCAAGTAACCATATGACTGGCAGGGTCCAGAAAAAAATAAACACCATCTCAAACCTTCATTGCCTCATCCACAAAATCAGTTCTATGGCCTAAAAGGAACTCAGTATGAAAAGACCCTTGAGCTTATTTTTAGCTGTAACTGACTTCAATGTATCTGAAAGTGAGCAATTCACATGTGATGTCAATTGTAAGTTTGGTGTACCTTTGAACTGTTTTCAGATTCAGATAACGTGGTTCTTTTTCTCATTCCTTCAGGCTCCTCTCCCTATGGCACTTTCAGGCTAACATACCCATTCAGGACTGCTTTCAAAATGTTTTCAAAATGTGCTAAAACTGCAGTTTCTGGATACTCTTAAAGAAGTAATGGGGTGAAGCACCAATCCAAAATCCAATATTTAGACCCATTGGCCCTTGGGAAATCAAGTGCTGTAGTCTACAGCTTTGGTCATTTCATTTTTATGCCACAGTGCAAACCTAAAGGGATACTCTATCAATAGTTATCCTAACATATATACAAACACTTGAAACTTTGTTGTCATCTGCTTAGGCTGCATTTCAGGGCCAAAGTAATCATTGGAATAATCAGCTACATAATGAAGGGGCTAGTACTTTGACCTTAGACTGCAGTTTGTCATTTCATAACCATGACAGTGCATTAAAACAAACAGTTAATGGAACAGGACACTTAAGCACACACCCCCCCACCCCCACAACTGAATTTTTCAGCAATTATAATTCCCTATGAAATTTTATAGTAGAAAAGTTTTCATTAAGTTTGTTTTTGGAATTGTTAATGAAATTCCACAAATGAAGAGTCCAAAAATTCAAAAAAACAGTTTTACCTACATAAGCTCTCTAATGTACAAGGGACTAGACAGAAAATAATACAAAAAATTAAAATATAGAGGAAAAAATTGTTTAGTTACCTGTTCCACTTTTATGTCATATTCTCCATGGACCTTTTTTCCACGAAAACTCTTGGCCCTGGAAAAAGAAAAATATTGTTATGTCAAGTACAGTAATAAATAAACTGGCTGCATTAGTGTACTTGAGAAAGAACATAGAATCACATGGGAAATGGCCGGGGGGGGGGGGCAGGGGGGTATTCTTCACCAGTGCCAACTGCAGTGGAAGGATTACTTTGTGTGCATCTTAAATATAATTTGCCTGTTTACGCATCCAATATGAAGTTTTGTTTTATTGTTTTCCTTTGTTTGGGGTTTTTTGCTACAGTGTGAAATGTTTGATTTATGATCTACTACAGGGATTTTCAACCTTTTTAAAGAAGTATACCCCTTTTAGTGGCAGCAGCTGGATGCTGAGTGGGAGGGCGGGGGCACAGTGGTGGCCACTAACACCACTCTGCTGCTGCTGCGCCCCACCTTCCCACAGCCAGTCACACATGCAGCTCCATGGGCTGCTGACGGGCCTTGCATCTGGCCAATCACATGCCACCTGTTAGCAGCTCATGGAGCTGCATGTGAGACTGGCCATGGTAAAGCGGTGTGTGGCACGGGGCGGTGGTGGCGGCACAGGACACTGTATGGAGGTGGTAGCTGCTCCATGCGAGCTTCCTCCCCCCATGTCTGGCCAGCTGGGCAGCACCTGTGTAGCCCACAGAGGGGCGCTGCTGCTCTCGCCCCCCCCTCCCCCTGGCCCTGCTTCTGGGAGGTGGCAGTGCTCCATTCCTGCCTGCCCATGTATACTCCCTAGGACCTTTCCAAGTACCCCTAGGGGTACACGTACCCCTGGTTGACAGCCCCTGGTCTACTAGACTCTCTAGATTATTTTCCCTGGAAATGCTGCCTACTCAGTTCTTTCCCATCTTGTATTCATATTAGGTATAGCATGTTGCTGTTGCTCTTGTCTTCACTTAATTGTATCCTATTCATTTGAGACTGTGTTTCCACTTCATCAAGATAATATAAAATTCTAATCCTGTTCTTGATGGTGGTTGCACCCCTCCCCATTTTGGCATGATATGCAAATTAAATAAGTTTTTCTCTATTTCATCATCCAACTCAAAAATGAAAATATTGAATACCATGACAGACCCCACCTGGAATCAAACTTTTTTCTGTTTCACAGGTAACTAGTCTGCATATGGCTTTCCAATTCATTGGGAATCCATGTGACAGTTATTTCATCAACCATACTTCTCTAGATTGCTTAGGAGAAAGTCATGAGACAGTGTCAAAAGTCTTCTTAAAGTTGAGATATATCATATCTGTTACTTCTCTATATACAATATTTGACACCCCGTCATAAAAGCAATTAGATTAGTTTGACATGATTTGTTACTGATACATCCATATTGGATATAATTTATCACCTTATCTTCTTGGTGTGTAGGAAATGTTATTTGATTATTTGTCCAGATATCTTCCTGGAAACTGAAATTAGGCTGACTGATTTATAATCCAATGGGTCCTCCTTTTCCCCCTTTTTTAGAGACAGGCACTATGTTTATTCTTTTCCAGTATTCTGGAAGCCCATCCATCTCATAAATGTACTGGTAACAGCTCTGAGATAGCTTCAGTCAGTTCCCTAAGGACTATGCGATGAATTTCATGAGATGATGTGGAGAATGATAGTTAGCCATGTTATAAACACAATGCGTTGCTTTGTCCAGTGATATGTAATCTATGTGGATGACTTGTCTGTGTTGATGAGGACAACAGAATCCGTCTTGTTGTCATCTACAACCCCCAGCTCGAACACCTTGGATACATCATTAATCGTCTGTAATCATTAAACACTAATGACCAGTGAGCTGTCAGGGAGCTCTGCTGGGACACTTCTGCCGCGAGAGCCAGCAGATCTTTAAGCTCTGTGGCCTGCAGTGCATGGGACCCGGCCCTGTTCCCCTGTTCCACCTACCAGCTGACTGTCAGAGCCAGGCAGGGGTGGTTCTGTCATGGCCCCCACATGGCTGCAAGAGCTACAGGTCTGCCTGGGTTCCAACAGTTAGCAATGGAGGCTGTGGAGCTGATCAGGAGAGCTGGGCATGAGGGGGTGTTCATTTCAAAAATAGTGTCAGCTGATCATCGGGGATCTGGGTTTTCTGTTTCCCACAGAAAAATAGAAGATAATGCAGATTTTCCACTTTAACCATGAAAAACACAGATTTTTCCTTTTAACAGAGAAATGTACAGATTTTCCACATTTTCAAAAAGCTCTCTGCAGGCTGGCAGAATTCCAGCCTGCAGGGGGCTAGGGGAAGTGGGAGGGGGGTGGTCAGGCAGGAGGCTCCATGTCCATGTATGCACTCACACATATGCACAGCTGCCAGGGATTGAGGCCCCCATAGGGAGGGAGGGAGGGAGG